AACAACACTATTGTTGTTGTCAATGATTGAGTGAAGTAAGATGTACATGAGCTAGGAATGTCAAGGAGGGCCATTTGGACCTTGTCTGATGTAACTGCCACGTGCTGGAATAAATCGTTAAATCACAGCCTGAGGTCTAAAACATGCAGTGCATGTTGGTACTTAGATAAACCTGCCTGGATTACTTTTTTTACCTTTAAAAATGAGAGTGGATGGGAGAACTGTACAGGAAGCAGTGTTTGTGAACACATACAAAACTGTTGTAGATGCTGCAATTTACTTGGGGAGAAAAAAAGAACTATCAGTGCTAGGCTCTGTATTCTTGAAGATGCCCTGCGGTGTGGAGGGCCCAAAGCAACGGGAGAGCGGTAGAGCTGAGGAGGACAGGTAAGGAGGTAAACAAAGTAGGTTTCACCAGCTTGAGGATGGAGGCAGTGGACCAGGCCTCAGGTTCCAGGGAAGTGTCTCTCGGCTCACTCTCAGCGGGAGTCAAGCCATCAATTAGGAGGGAGACGGGGTTTAGCCAGATGGCGCCATGTATCAGCAGCACAACATCTGCCACATTACCCTCTAGGTACACAGTGTTCAGGGCGAATGAGACCAAATGGAAACAACTGCGGAGCAGGGCAGAGCGGGACACAGAAGCTCATCTTAGGGCCTTGTGGGCCATTATTCAGATCCAGTGTCTACCAGGGAATGACAGGGTAGGTCTCCCTCTACTGCCCCATCGGACCGAGGCGGTCCTAACAGAGGAGAACTAGGTAGTCATTAAAGGAAGAAATGATGTCCTCCTGAAAATTAGCTTTGAAATCACCCAGATGAACAAGACAGTACTAAGGGTGTGCAGCCAGCACCCTCCCTCATCCCCCAAATCTTTAGAGGACAGGGAGTGTCTCCCTGTCTGTGCTCTGCACCGATGCCCCTGCAAAAGTTCCTGGCCAACAACACTGAGAAAGAATATTTCCAACAGTCCTCTGTGAGTCAGGTTGCACTGCTCTTTTACCACATAAAAGGCCCTACAGGTCTCACCATTCCAAAACACAACTGTGTTTAAACAACCTATTAAAAGAAGCAGCACTACCTATTGGAACATTCTGAATCCAGGCTTTATACCCATGCTCTTCCACTGACGAGCTCTGTAGGTTTAGACAAGTTCACTTGCACAGTTGTGAAATGAGGATAATATACAAAACACAGAAATACCGAAAGCATTCAATAAATTTTGGCGGACACTAATCCCCATTAATATGGGTTTCCATTAGTATTCACTGATGATGAATATTTACTTACTTCTTATACTTAATACACACCTAATACCATCTTCAGGAATCTGTGTCCCATACAACAGAGATGGTAATACAGAAAAAGCCTCTCTCCCCAAAAGAAAAAATCAGTATCCTCTGAACAGAAAAAGCAGCACAAACAAACCAATCAGATTTAGTCTAACAGCCACTTAATTTTCCTTGACTTACCCACCTGTTGGAACAAGAATGTTATTCAATCCTCCCAGATAGAATAGGTTAGTCTCTTGCTCGGTTCTGGTTCCTCTATTATCATCACATTATTATCATTACTTTACAAAATAGTTTCATTATGAGGACATTTTCAGGTTTCCAGACTGTGTCCTTCAATCCCATCCACCCCTCTGCCCTCCTATCCCTGGTGTCTCCTCCGCCTTAGGGTTCCCCGCTCTCCCTCAGGTGACTCCACTCTGCTTTCGTGTCTGCATTTCACACAGAAAACATACACCCTTGTCTACCTGGTCCTTCCTACCTTCTTGGACTGAATGCTGGCTTTCAGGGTTAGGAGGCCACGCTGCCCACCCACACGCACGAGGAGCTGCTCATAAAAACACCAACCCGAGTGCTGCAGCACGTGGTATGGGAGGGATTAAGTAGCAGCAATAGAGGCGGCAGCAGCGGTAGCCTGTCCACACCGTGGGAACCCCCTGTACTATGCTGGCCAGCATCCTGGCTCCCTTCAGAGGGCTGCAGTGCTCACAGGAGCCCAGCCCTGAACACTGATGAGCTACATCAGTGAGCTACAGCTGATGAGAGACATCTTCCCAGCTGTCAAGGGCTGAGCTGGTCTTTAAATGTTCCTCGTTTGTACACAGGATGCAGTTCCAATGCCGACACTCATCTGGTGACAGATCTCAAATGCGGACTTGTCCCGGCAGAGAAAGGGCTGCGGCTTCTGCCGGCTGCCTCTGCTCCCTCTCACTAGGGCTTTGGGATTTCTAAACTGTCTCAGGGCCATGCTAATTTGCATGTCATGTACCCCCATCCACCCACCCACTCAGTACTTATTAACTGTGTCCACCCAGGTGCTGCTCTAAGTTCTGTGGGTGCAACACTGAACACAAACAGGCAGTTCCCCATTCTCTTCAACACACATTTTAGTAGAGGAGAATAAAAACACCGAAGACATGAATACCATGACTTCAAACAGGGGAAGGACTGATTAGAAAGGCAAGGGGGAGTTCTAGAGCAATGGAGGCTTGGGGGGGGGGGAGAGAGACTCAGGGAGGGAGTCAGGCCCGTGAGACCTGGCGCGGGGTGCTCTGGAAACAGAAGAGGTGGTACACAGAGGCCGTGGCTTCAGCAAGCTTGCAGGAAGGAGAGGACCTAGAGCCATCAGTGTGGAGTACAATGCATGAGAGGGAGGGGGAACAGAGAGGTCAGCCAAGGAGACAGGGCCTGAACAAGGAGACTAGCTTAGTTTTCATTGTACCAGGAAGCCATAGAAGGGTTTTAAGTAGAAACGGACATGGTAAGAAATCAGAAGCAATTATATGCTTTCTTCTTAAGTTCCCAACGACTATAGTACATACATGCTTAGCAATATGTCTGCAACCAAATCCTACATTCTATTTCAGATAACCACACTAGAGATATTATGGGATATGATAGAGTGGAAGTTAAATCATGACATCACCACCCAAAGCCACCCCTGTTGGTCTAAGAGGAACACTGTGGTGTGATTTAAGAGAATTTCATGTAACTTAATGTCTTTCATTAAAAAGATAAAGCAGTGATAACAAGCAGGAGTGACATCCAGACCTCAAATAACAGTTTTACAAAGAAGCAGCACTGCTTACAGCAACTGCTCAGCTTGGAAAGTAAGAGAACTGGAAATGCTAAGCTGGTTATCTATAACAAGTGCCAATCCACTACTTTACAACTCTTAACAAAAGAACTCTTAAAAAAAAAAGATGTGGCCGTGTTTTGGTTGGCCGTGTTTTGGTTGCCCTTGCTGGTAATACTAGCTACTCAGGAGGCTGAGATCTGAGGATCATGGTTCAAAGCCAACCAAGGCAGGAAAGACTCTTATCTCCAATTAATTAGCAAAAACAACAACAAAAGCACTGGAAGTGGAGCTGTGGCTCAAGTGGTAGAGCACTAGACTTGGGCACAAAAGCTTAGGGACAGTGTCCAGTCACTGAGATCAAGCTCCAGGACTGACACCAAAAAAATAAATTAAAAAAATAAAGGTAGAAGAGAGCTTCCAATTAAAACACATAGTCTGCAATGCAAACAAAACTCACGGCCCTGTCCCCTTAACTACAATGGAGGCTGAAGTAGGTGTTACAAGATGAAGGCAAAGCTGCACTCCGTAATGCTGCTCTGTTCTCTCTGATCCCTCGTCTGGAGCAGACCTGCACACAGAAGTGGGCTCTGGAACATTCCTGACAAGAAAAATTTGGGAAACAGCAGGGAAGAAACCGTGGCAGATGTCCTTCAGATGATTCTGCCAGGTTATTCTGAGCTTTAGAAGTCAGAAAGGGCGTGAGCTCCTGATGATGATGTCAGACCAAAAGTATGTGGAACCCGACGAAGCACAAGCTCTGGGGGCAAGCAGGGTGCCCAGCCATCAGCCGCCACCTGCTCGAGGAGCTCAGGGAGAACACAACCACCACCACCAGCAGGCTGGGCTCTCGTGCTGCCCAGCTCACGAGACCAAGAGGACATGCTTGGAGGGGCTGACTGGCGCTATCCGCCCCTGCTGGTGCCTTATGCTTGTAATCCTAGCTATGCAGGAGGCTGAGATGAGAGGGGTTAGCCAGCCCAGACAGGAAATTCTGTGAGACTCTCATCTCCAATGAACCACTACAAAGCCAGAAGTGGAGTTGTGGCTCAAGTGGTAGAGTGCTGGCCTTGAACACAAAAATTAAGGGATGTGACCATGAGTTCAAGGGCCCCTCTCCCCCACCAACCCTCTACACACACACCATGTCAAATCCCTCACTTTCAGTTTAGATCACACTTTTATCTTCAGTCTTTTTAAGACCTGTGTTCACATTATTTTGTAATAAAATTATTTTCAATTTATATATCACACATGGAAGACTGTCTCAGCTCCCTGAACGTGCTATAAAATCCTGGGAGCCACAGTCATCGCTCGTGCTGCTCATTCACCCATGGTATAAAACACATAGCCCAAAAGAGGGAAGGAAATAAAAAATAATTGTCTTGCAGCATCGCTCTCTTGAGATAATCACTGTTTAAGTTTCTGGTTATCTCCCTCCATAAACGCTTGTGGCCACATATGAACTTCTGTTATTTAGTGCTCAATCTACTGGGCAAAATTTAGAAGGTAGAAGGATTGCCATTACCAAATACTGTTACTATAGAACCATGGATCATTTGTAGCTCAAGGTGGTACACAAATAAGGATTACTAATTGTGACAAGGTGAGTGTATGGGCATCCCAAATACATCCAACATCCAGGCACGCATCACTCCCCTGATGTCCCAAGGACTTCAGGGAGCAAGCTCTGGAGTCGCAGAGTTGTACTCCTTCTCAACTTTGCTCATCCATCCTGAGGCTCTGCCTGTTCTTTTACTCATGAAGAGCTAGCAAGCTGACAGGTGTCTTCAGCTCAGCATTGTCACCGCCTGCAGCTGAGGCCTCCAGGAGTGGATTCGGTGGAGCAAAACCCCTGCTAAACAATTACAAGTCAATCAGAAACCATATTTCGGTAAAGGTGTTCATCTTACCTGAAAGGAGTTCATGCGGCGGAGGGACACAGGTAGTGTGGCAGTGCTCCTGGACAGTATCAGCAGAAGTTCCAAGCAGCTTGCTGAGGGCAGGGTGACGGCGTGGACGCTGATGTCACTCTCCCATTCACGGGCAAGCCTGGGGCACACAGACAGTTGAACTTTCACAAATGTGTTCTTGTAATTATTTTAAGCCTGCCAGAACAAAGAGAACTTCCAGTAGTTTGGCAGGGATCAGGGTGCGGGGAGAAGCACCTCACAAAAGTAGAAATGAAATGAACTACAGATTTGCAAAATCAGTGTCCAAACACACTGTTGCCAGGGGCAGCCATCTTTCTGTATTCCAACTATGAGAGTCACAGGGACCGTGGACCCATGCAGGGAGGGCCGGCTGAGAAGTGGGGGCATGTGAAAACACTTCGGGCCGTCCATTGTGCATAAGGTCCTGCTTAGGCCTCAGCCAGCTGGGCAAAGGACCTGCTGTTGGCTGGCACCGACATGTCCTTATGGGACATATGGATCCATGATCTTCAAGCCTCGAAAGTCTTGTCACAGGCCCAACTTGTACCACAAATAAAAGCACAGTTGTTCTGTTTGACGGCGGAGCTGGCGGACACCGCCTTTCCTCCGCGGTGGCCCGTGAAGCAGCTCTGGTGAACCCCGCATAGCCCAGTTAAAAAAAATCTTTGGTTTGAGACATGAGGAAATTGAGTATTAGAAACGGGGACCTGTCTGAGACAAGGAAGATGTGCAGAGAGTGACACGGTCAAGTCTCAAATCTTGATTTCCTGACTCCACATCTAATGTAAAGGGAAAATTCTAGAAAAGAGGATTCTAGACTTGAACATGTCACTCTCTGAAAATGAGAAAGATGCATGAGTTCCATGCTTCCAATTCTTCTATTTTTTTCAAGTTTAATCATTCAATTCTTACTTAGGTATTTCTTCTGTGATACCTTATCAAATATTCTTTATCAGTGTTCTATATTTTAAAAAACATATTTTTAAAAATACAATACTTTGCCAGGAGCTGGTGACACCGACCTGTAATCCTAACTACACACACAGAAGGATAAGATTTGAGGACGAAGGTTCAAAGCCAGTGTGTTCAGCAAAGTCCATGGGATTCTTACTGCTAATTAACTACCAAAAGTTGGAAGTGGAGCTGTGGCTTAAGCAGCAGAGCACCAGTGAGGGAAAAAGCAAAGTGAGAGTACCCACACCCTCTCTGAGTTCAATGCCTAGGATGGGCACAAGCAAACAAAAAGTGCTCACCTATCTACTATATAAATGCACTCTTTGGCCATTTCTATAAGCCTATCTTGGCAATGCCAACTTCACCCACCTTAGTGGCGAATGGAAGTGGTTTCTAGAGCGCCCTTCTCCCCCCCCCCCCGAGGGCATAATGGATCACCATTCTGGTCACAAGCCAGAGGGAACGGCTCAGCTGTATCTCCAAGCAAGGCATTTATCATGCTGACACACCTGCAGTGTGGGCGGCAGAGTTAGTGCTTCTTTGAAACACTTACCAATGAGCTGGATTGTAATAGGCATGGCTCACTTTCCTTAAACCATCAGATTTCAGCAAGGGCACGTCTGCGTGTCATCTGAGTTTCAAAAGTTATTATTTTATATTGACTGGCTCTGTTATTCTTTCTGCTTTTGTTCATTATATAACATTCTCAACATTTCTCTAGAGTAGAAAAAAATGCTATCATTTAAAAAATTCCAATTTAGTTCTAGGACAGTGGCTCCAGACTCACTCTCCACCTCTTTCCTTTCTGTTCTGATGGTTAATTGGAGATAAGAGTGTAAAAGACTTTCTTGCCCAAGCTGGTTCCAAACTGCAGTCCTCAGTGATCCTGGACTTCGATGCGTACTATGCCTGGCGTTACTAGCTGAGATGGAGACTTCGGAACTTCTTGCTCAGGCAGCACTGAATTGTAATCCTCCCTTATCTTGGCCTCCTAAGTAGCAAGACACAGGTATGAGCTACCACACCCAGCATAAACCTACCATTTTCTAACAATGTATGTACAAATACCTAAGCAAGCGAATGAAAATATCAACACATTAACAGGAACTGTCTGTGGGTACTGGGACTGTAAGAATCCCACTGCTTTTCTTCAACTTTTTCCTGTTTTGTTTCAAATGACTCATTATAGAGGTACTAGAATTTGATGATCATGGAAAAGTTTTAAAGCTACTTTTGTTTTGAGACTATATCAAATAAAATCTATCTTTTAATGCTTTAACAGGTAAAATACAGCTTCTATAAAGGAAATGAACCAAATGATCTGAGCAAATATTTGAAATTCTTAGTTAAATTAAGATACAAGTAATTTAAACTTTAGTTAAATTAATTTTTCCATGACAAGAATATCTAAGATTCTAAATTTAGAGTTGGAGATTTTTTTTAAATCATTGTTAGCAACATTCAAATTAACCTTGATACTAAAAAGGCAATATCTTGAAGCTGACAAATCTGGTGGTTACCTGGATACTTTCCTTCAATAACAAGAAGTACAAAATAAATAATATAAATCAGAATACTTGAAGTGACTTTAGCAGACATCTCATGTATTATTAAGAGAAGAATAAAGAAAGGCCAATAGAAGCAAGAAGACTTTTTTTTTTAAAGTGCTAATAAAGAAAAGCTCACATCCAAGGAATGAAAGGCCAAGGTGTTCAGGCGATCTCCATGAATAGGAACAAGGAAAAAGCCGAGGTTATCTGCGTTTGCCAAAACAAACTCCACTGTGAACTCAAGTGTCCAACATTCAAGCAGCATTCATCATCCACATTTTTATTTTGTCCAGTCAAGTTGCAGTAACAGCCAATCTGCCTGACGCTTTGACCCCATTAGGCCTTACAGTCGTATCACAGCCAGCTGAAGTCTAACAGACCACACAGCTGTTTTAACAGTTGGGTTTCTCCAAAATTAAAATGTTCTATTCCTGACAGTGCCTAGCAACTCAACTGTTAGAACAGCTGCTCAAGTTGAAGAGTCAAAAACCAAGTACATATAAAGCTGCTCCTATTTGCCACTGCTGTGAAATTCCTTCAGAAGAGAACTTCCTAGACTTAAGTGCGTTCTGACATTTTCTAACCTGTTTAAGCATTTATTCTTGCATTGCCTCTGCCTCTGACCTCCAGCCAACGTTCCTGTCATCTCCATCTCTCTTGGTGTTTGCCCTTTGTGTCCTTCTTCCTCTGAGCTCTAATTGCTAGCTGGTTGTTTTCTGCTTCCCTCACTGGGATTGGGGTGCTGGGCTCCCCATCTCCTCTCTCCATTGTCTTGGAAGCAGCATTTTTATTCTGTTGACACAGAGGTGGTAATTCACAAGTCCCCAGTAGGAAAAATACTATTTCCAGTGACTTCTGTTAATACTATTAGGGTTAACGATTGAGGGACACTTAAAGACAATCCAACAATATTGTTTTAATTTAAAATCATTTTAAAAATCCTTCACAATTCTGCCTTTGTTATCATTCTCTCTTTCAGATACATCTGCCTGCACTACAGTCTACATTTTCTCTGTACCACCGAAACCTATTCATCAACAATCATCAATCATCGCCAGTAATGATTAACCGGTCTTTCCCTGGTAATCCATCTATATTTATTTAACCTTTCTATTAAGCTATTTACTATTTACTCATTTTCATACTTATTCATGTGGTGCTGGTGGTTGAAGTCAGCGACTTGTGTGTACTAAGCACACACTCAACTAGGAGTTTCACCCTTTCCCACTTTACTCAGTCTTTCCATTGATCTACTCCTCCATCTAACCCCACATCCTTCTCATCTTTGCGAACAGCACTGCAGAGGGCCAAACTATGTTACCCAGCTAAGTTCCTCAAGCCTGGAAAGGACTTTCATCTTGACGTTCTAACATGGTTTCTTCTCCTCACAGATCCTTACTCTCACAAATGTACTGCATTACACATCCCTGAAAACCGCAGCTCCCAGGGTCTAAGAATAGATTTACTGCCGGATCTAGACTAATCAAAACCTGAACATACCTACGGAGAAGCTGAACGCGTTTTTTAGATTACACCATCTCTCCTGCAGCAGCTCCAGCTCTTCTGCTGCGTGATGTACAGAGTGATCCTGGCCCATAAATCTAAGAAACCACGTCTCTCCCCACCTCGCTTCTCAGCGCAGAGGCTGTAAATGGAAAGGTGTTCACGGAGCTGGCGCGGGGGGAGGGGGGGGTGGGGGGTGGGGGGGTGTGCTGGGGCAAGCTGACGCAGATGAACGCAGGCGTCCGAGAGCTCTGTGCAGTGCACTGGAGGCGAGGGCTGAAAGTCATTTTAATAAATCATGTCAAGCCCCAAATCACAAGTGCAGTAGAGTTAAATTTTCTTAATTAGAGGAGCCTTGAAAACAAGGTGCTGCTGTCACTATCCTATTACCATAAGGTTAATGCCCAAGCCACTAGCTCCAAAGACCCCTCATTGTATTTCAGAGTGTAAGTCTGCAGAACTGTAGCCGTTCTTCCAGCTTGCAAGATTGTTAGGATCCGTTTTGTTTTACGGGGCTAACCATAGCAAAGTTTTCATTTTTTAATAAGAGCTTAGATAAATAACCTTAAGTCCCAAAGGGCCTTGTTAAAGTAGCCTTGTGAAAGTTTTACACTTGCATATGAGTTTGAAAAAAAGAAAAAAAATGTCCACCTAGCAGTTTGAGCTGCTGCTGACTTCTCTAGCCCTGGGGGAGTTATTGTTAAAATTCATGTGTCTCGCTATTTCAAATGATTTAAAGCAGTCGATTATGATAAGTCACCATGAAATACACCCAATGGAAGACACTGTTCAAACAAAACTCTCAATTTAAAATACACACAATGCACCCATCCGTATATTTAGATAGTGTTAAGGTTCTGGTACATTACTCATCTTAATATGTATTTTATCCTGAGTCTGGGATGCAAAAACATACATTGTACTAGGTGAACTATTTTCCCTTTCTTTCTTTTTTAAAAGAGGTCATTTCAACACATTTTGACTCTACCCTGGAGAATTCAACTCAGTGCAGGAAAGTTCCAGCAACATCGGAAACTAAGTCATTTGGAATGAGATGAACATGAGTCCTGGGCCATGTTGGCATTTTATCACTTCTCTTACAAGACGTGGG